GGAAGGAAGGAAGGAAGGAAGGAAGGAAGGAAGGAAGGAAACACAATTCAAAACTAGGTCAATAAATTTCCTGTTCCTTTTCTAAAGACTTTAGGGTGCATTCCCGTTCTAATTATTTGTTTAATGTGTGTTTGACTGAGTGTTGGCACATGAGTGCAGGTGCCTTGGAGGCCACAGGCATCAGCTCAGATCCCTTGGAGCTGGAGTTACCAGTTGGGAGGTGACCACTGCAAGAGCAGCCAGTGCTCTGCACCTCTGAACCACCTCACCTCTCCTGTCCACAGCTCTAATTATGCACAGTGCACAGAACTCTGTCTTCAACACAACACACCTCTTTGCCCTCCTTAAACAGTTTATTTGCTTCATGGGCTGCGGCTGCCACCTGCTGACTCTTCAGCTGACTGAGTTTGCTATCTGGGTTCCGCAATCTGGTGATGATGCGGGTGGAAGCGGTCGTCCCTCGGCCAGCTCCAGGGGACTCGGCCATCTCTCCGTTAGACTTCTCCAATCTGAAATCACCTGTGAGCAAATGAAAACGTCACAGTGATTGCTGACAGGGAGGAAGCAACTAAGGGTGCCTTACTTATTCAACACTTACATACCATATATATTTCATGTCCAAGAACACTAAGCAGATTAAGTCCTTCCATAGGCAAAGCAAATGTCATCAATTCTTGAATGCTTTCCTCAAGAGGAAACATCAAAAGTAAAAATGCTGTGTGTCATTCATTATTCTGCCGAAAACAGTGTTACCTGTTTTGAAACTCATCTACTGGAGAGGAGTGGCCTCCAAAAACTTGCAAGTAACAAACATAACAACTCAAATGCATACAAAAATGATGCCTTGTATAACTAATGTGGATTTGTGTATTAAAAGGATAGTTAGTTTTAGAAAAATTTCCCATTTAAGTAGTAATAGTCTTGAATTTTAAAAGTGCCAACTGAATTTTTCTTTAAGAGAAGTTACATAATTATTTGTGAAAACTCATTACAACAATTATTTTTTTTAACATAATAAGGATCTATCAACATCTGCTTTATGACTTCATTTTTGACGGTGATGGACTGAATGTCCAGAAACAATTTCTGCTTTCTATATGCGCAAATTTCACATTGGATAATGAACATACATACCCAGTCATTCATCATTGTACATTTTCCATTGGCCAGAAAATTGAACAAGACCTGATTTTTAATTTAAAGCTTAAAAAAAGAAATTAAACAGTGTAGCATTGGTAAGTCCAAGGATGGGAATTTATCGTATTATATATATTGGTATTTTAGGCAAGTAGAGACACATGCAGATGGAGAAACTAGCTGTTCATTTCAAGGGAGTATTTACCACTGGCTGGCTCAATCTGTTCCCTACCTGTCCTCCTCTCTGGAGGGGATGTTCTGCCCACGTTAACTGTGTAGCAGTAACAGGATAATAGGTCAAGGGTCCTGCCACTGGAAGCAACTACAGCACCCAGACAGAACCAGACAGAACACTCCACCAGCCCATTAGCTAACTCTACCAGCCCGTTATCATCCTACTCCATTTTTTGGCTTTTAAATTTGGCTTCTCCTCTCTTCCACGGGACTGAATCGAGAGCCTTGCACATGCGGAGCACATGTTCTTGCACTGGGCTGAACCCTCACCCGACCATTCTGGTTTTTCTATTAGTAAGCAGGAAGAGTGTAAATTAGGGGCTGTAACTTTCACCTCTACAGTAGAAAGACTGCCGCTTGCAGGGAACAAAAATCCCCCAACACTCCGGAGCAGATATGACAAGAGGAAGTTGAGGAAGACGTCTTGCTAACCTTCTTAGCTTCCTGACCCTGACAGTACACCTGGGACTTTCATCAGCCCTAGACGTACGTTCCTGTCAACGCCATTAATAAAATTTCATCTATGTTTTAAGCAAGGTAGATTTCTGTCAATAGCAGTAAATCCTCAATAATCCAACAAGTATTTTAAGACTTGGCCTACAAAACACACCACTGAGTAAGTCGAGATAGATCAAGGGCTGAGTATCTTGCCAGGCCAGGCTGAAAAGCCAGTAATCCAGGACAGTGATATCTGCTCTTAGCCTCCATGTGCTGAAGCTTTAACGCCAAGGCGCTGAACTCTTGGGACCACTTATTATATCCTGCAATAGACTTTACAGATACTGTCTGGTTTAGGCTGAACTTGCTGAAAACAGAGAAAGAAGAGCAAGGGCTTTCTGAAAGAAGCCCCTCAGTGTACGGCTGCAATTCAATGCTGCTCAGAATCAACCTTCTGCAAAAGCTAGTTTAGCAAAAATACAAGCAAGGAACAACTTCATCTGCAAGGGTCAGCGCTGAAGGTCCTCATGGAACACACTCTGTTGTCATTAAGAAGTCAATCTAGACAGGCAGCCTGGTGACAAAACAAACATCTGCTCTAAACCAGGCCCTCTGGTGAGCATAGGCAAAGGGCAAAGGCTACTGGACCACCAAACAAAATGACAAAGCAGAAGGGCTCCTGTCCATGGAGCTTGAAGCAAGTTCCTGCGTATTAGGTACCAGTGGGAATGCCGACAAATGATAAGGGAATGTTATACAGACATAGGGAGTGTGGGCAGAGAACGCTCCAACTCTGCCAGGCTGCTGTGTATGATTGTTCAGCCAACAGCAATCCCAACAATCCCTACTGTGTAACAGCCAGCAGAAACTAGAGAATGGCCCCCAGAACCTCTCATATGCTTTTCACTTCTCATCTGTTTTCACCATCCCAAATCTGCCAAAATAGACCCTCCATAATCAGGACAATAATGTGCAAACAGCTAAAGTCAGAATTTCATATGGGTTATAAACTAAGATAAGATACACTCAAACCTGTCAAACTTAATGCACAGCACACAGAAATCTTAGACGGGGCCTAAAATATAATTACAGCTATCGGGTACAATTGTGGGCCAAGGGTTTTTGGAAATTTGCAGGTGAGGATGAGATCTATGCACCACGTGAGGCAGAGGCATTGTGAATGGATCTATGGGAACAGACATGAGTGAGCGTGCTGTGCTGACGTACCAAAGGATGGAACTGCAGCTACCTGCTTGCTCCTATCTTTGAACCAGCCCTCGCTCTTTGGAAAATCATTCCTTCCCCATTTCAATCATATACTTTTGTGGAGCCATCAATAATACCTTGCCTGCCCTGGCCACAGGTGTGGAACAATATGATCCAAGATAAGCCACTCAAATTCCTTCCTCAAAGACTTTTGATTTGGAGCAGGAGTAAGGGCTTTGCCTTTGGGCCACAGACCTTGGAAAGACATGAAAACAAATTGCTGGTGCCATCTTACCTGCAACTTGGAAAAAGCCTGTCTGTATTAGGAGAGAATGGTATTATCACACAAATTTAAGTTGGTTGAAAGAGAGAGAGGGGGGGAGAGAGAGACAGAAAGAGAGACAGAGCGGTTGTTAAACCTCTGGGCCCACTTACGAGTCAGGAGAAGCTGGACTTCCCAATTTTATAAGCTAATTAAATTCCCTCTACATTTAAACTATTTGAAGATGGTCTGGTCACTTACAATTGAAAAAGTCCTAAGTAAAACACATCTCCAACCTTATGTCATATTTGAAATTATACTCAAGATAAATTTAAAACAGTGCTACAGACTTATGAGAAATTACTGTAAATATATTTATTTTCATAAGATTGTCTTCCTTAAAAACAAACAAAAAACCCACAACATACAGAGAAAACCCTGCAGAAAGAGATGAAATTTAACGACATAATAATGTAAAAATTTCAGACAGTAGAGAATTAAGCACAAGAAAGTAATATATAAGCACATATATGAAGCAGATATTAATGACCATAATACAAAGGCAATCCAAAAATTTATGCAAATATATCAAAATTCTATAGGAAAATGTGAGCTAAAACAGGAATCATCAAAACACAGATTATTAAACACATGAAAAGAAGCAACCACATTCATAAGCAAAGATATGCACTTATTCCCATGAAATACCTTCTTACCACTGGCAAAAAAGATAAATGGTATTAAATTTAGGTGTGCAAATAGGGAAACATACAAGTTTGGAAATTAGTAGGGTTGTCCCCTTTGGGTGATTAATTAAGCAACAGCTACCATTATCTGGAAGAGGTACCTACCATTTGCCCAGCCAGTCATCTCCTCACTGTTTCCTACACTGCCAGAAACACTTGCAGAATACAGAGACACTTGTGGAGGCCGGTAGAAAGCACCACCGTGGTGATGGCCAAACACCGTGCAGCAGCTAAAAACAATGGTTTAACTCTAACAGAAGAGTCCCTACCATGTGTCACTGAGCGGGGAAAGGAAAAAACAAAACAAGATGCAGAATAACACATGCAGAATGATCCCATTTATATATTAAAAAAAAAAAAAGAAAAAGAAAAAAAGAAAGAAAACCAAAAAAATTGTCAACATACAGATATGAACATAATGGAAAATACAAAATACTGATGGTGGGTATATTTCAGGAGAATAAAAAGGCTTCTATTTTTCTCCTCTTACAGGATTTTTTGTAAAGCAAAAGCAGTGAGCTCGTGTTAATTAAAAATAAAAACAAAAACAAAACAAAACACTAATTCTTTCTAACCCACTAACTTTTATTTAAAAAATTGAAAATGTTTAAAGAAAAAAAAAAAAGAAAAAGAAAAAACTCTCCCCTGAGTGGATGAGCGTGCTCTTACCTATCTCTTCTTGACCAGAGACAGGTGTGTGGGAGTCTCTCTCTCCAAGGTCAGGGTCATCGGCTGCCTTAGCAGAGTCACTCTGGGAGGAAGTGAGTTCACTGCTGCTGTTACTGGTTTCCAGATTAGGCTGGATGGAGGCAGTGGTAGCACTAGTGTTACTGCTGTCACATGTCTTGTTAGAGTCTTCTAGAAAAATAAAATATCTGATTTTTACACTGAAAATCACAACAAAATCTAAACGTCAGCAAAGCACTTGATGGTTGCAGGACTTCATCACGCTGCTGCACGTTACACAGCAAAGCTGATCATGGAGGACTATGAAGGGCCCTGTGTGAGAAGACACTGGTGAGCACTGCCCTACACCTCCTTTAAAACCCTGTCCATCAGCTCACAGGCTCTTTATCATCCCCGGCACAAAGCAGATAACTTCCAATAGTCTAGAGCCAAAGAAAAACAACCAACCCAACTACTGCACACAACTCAGGGCACATCAGATATGGAAGGAGTGGTTTTGAGAGAAAAGCACCCAAAACATGAAGCTTATATTCTCACATTTCAAGAGTTTTCAAAGATCTCTATTAGAAATGGAATTAAAGAGATTCTTTACCTAAGGTTTTCTAAGTGTGCTCACTTGTTCTGAGTAATTCACAGCATCACTAGCAGTTCAATTCCTAACAGTACAGAAGTTGGTACCAGGAAAAAAAGACAGCCAAGGAATTCAGAAAGCAAGTCTGTCAGCATTCTTTGTCCCGATAAGGTACTCTTTCCATCACACTAAGTGAAAGCGACTGACATTGGGTCACACCAACTACATGAACTATGGTAATGGTAAGGAAACAGTGCCCCCATGAAATGCTTTAGACCTCTGACTGAACCCAATGTGATGGGGACCATAGCACAGAGAACAGAGGACAGAGGAATAATCACAAAAGAATGAAAGTTGCCTTTAAACATATGGAAATATGACCACTTCATTCTAGCCGAAAGAAAGCAAACTGAAGCTGTGCTCACACTTGAAATCCCAACAGGCTGAGACAGGAAGACTGTCTGAGTGGCAGGCCAACTTAGGCTCAAAACAAACAACCTAGCAGAACAGAAAGAGCAGCCAGGCGGTGGTGGCACACACCTTTAATCCCAGCACTTACGGAGGCAGAGGCAGGCGGATCTCTCTAAGTTTGAGGCCAGCCTGGTCTACAGAGCAAGTTCCAGGATAGCCAGAGCTACACAGAGAGACCCTGTCTCAACCCCCACCCAAATCAAACCATAACAGAAAAAGGCCTTACAGAAATGATGTCATTATTATCTGCTACTGATACTTGCCAAATTCCAGACACTAAATCCAGATGCTTATGGTAAGTACAAATAATGCTGTCTTTCCAAACACCACCACCCAACTTTGAAGTCTCGCCTTCTTTCATCTGAACCACATGAAATATTGTGGATCTCTGACTGCATCCAATATGGTGGTTAGCATAGCATTTGTCTACTTTAATATTCGAATCCTTTGTTTTTCAGGCTAAATCTGTCATTTTTCCTTTTACCAAACTCCCTGAAAGTGACACTGCTCTCTGTTGAGATGTTATGCCAAGGAAAAATCTTGAAAATGGTTGCATTTTGGGATTAAAATTTCGTATTAAGGCCTGGCAAGCGGGCTCAGCTGGTAAAGGTGCTTCCTGTCCAGCCTAACTATATGAGTTCCATCCCCAGGAACCACATGGTAGAGGGAGAAAACAAACTCCCACAAGTTGTCCTCTGCCCTCCACAAGTCTCTACTAACAGGCATGGCACCTCTGCCCCCACAGCCAATCAATAAGTGAATAAGTAGATAAACGCATTTTCATGTTTCAGTTTTTCCACTGCAGGGCCTTCAGACCAGCTCAGGCTTGGCCCACGCACTGCTCTTGCAGAGGACCTGAGTCTAGTCCTCAGCATCCACATCAGTGGGCTGACAACTGCCGCTACCTCTGGTTTCAGAGATCTGATGCCCTCTTTTGGTTTCCATGGGCACTGCACTCACATCAACACACACTCACTCACTCACTCAAAAAAAACTTCAAAAAAAACCTTTCTACTATAGAAAAGAAATGCCAACCAGAAGAAAGGTAGTATAGCTTGAAAATATTTTTAAATATAATAAACTTCAAAATGATTAAAATATTAATTCAAAAGAAAATATAAAAATTTGGATGCACCTGGTAAAAATGAACTGAAAAAAATGAAGAGAGAAGCTTGGGGTAGCTCAGTGGTAAGCGCTTGCCTGGCATAAGCTCCTGGGCTCAATCCCCTGTACCACCACACAAACCAACCAGACAGTAAGGCACTTTCATAGCAAAGAGTTGCAAATAATTTTAAACATCTTACAATGAAGGAAAAGAAGAGACTTCAATTAGAACAATACAATTCAAAAATTGGACTTAACTGTCTTATGCTGTACCCAACAACAAAGGCATGTGTTTTCACCAATCGTAAATGAGACATAATCAATGTCAAACTCACACTGGGAATATAACTCAGCGGCAAAGTGTTTGCCTCTGACCACAGGCCCTGGGCCCCACACCCATCACACCCTGATTAGTTCTGGGCGACAGAACAGCCAAAGCACAGTAGCTGCAGCTAGTCCTCCAGAGGGACGGACAGACGCACTGACAGCAGACACAGGAGGCCATCAGAGCCCCGACTTCAGAAGCAAAGAAAAATAAAAGGGAAGAAATAAGGAAGACCAGAGTTTAATAAGCCAGAGAAAAGCATGCAGTAGCTGGGTGCAAAGACAGAGAATAACGTCACAGAGCCACCTGCCTCTATGTGAGTTCTGGAGAAGGAACTCATCTGGTCAGGCCAGCCTTGCCCAGCAAGAACCACCAAGCCATCTTCACCAGCCCCAATGTGATCTCTGAAATAGTTTCTCATTGGCATGGGACTCTGGAAGTAGGCTAGACTGACTGGCCAGTCTTCCCAGCACTGAGATTATCCGCCATCATTTATAGATTTATAGATTCTGGGGCAAGAACTCAGGTTCTTTCAATGGATGAATCGTCTCTCCAGCTCAAGGTTACTATGACTGTTAAACTGCATTGATTATTAGTGTGTGCGGGGTGCATGTGTAGGCATGTATGTGCCGCAGGACACATGTTGAGTTCAGATGACAACTTTCAAGAGCTGGTTACTGCTTTCCACCAGAGGTTCCTGGACTTGAACTTAAGTTTGTATGGCAAGTGCTTTTATGCACTGAGCCATCTCACCAGCCCCCAAGATTAATTTGATGAAGATAAAATAATCTTGTTACTAGAGATAGATAAGAACATCAGAAGAAAATATAAGCTAATCTCAATTATGAAAGTAGATACAAAACCCTATCCAAAATATTACAAAATTGGATACAGTAACAGATGAAAAAAGAATCATAACGAAGCTGTACTTAATCAAGGACTATATATTGGACATTCAAACAAACAACAGGAACTTTTGCTTTAGTGAAGACAGCCTTAAGGAAAAAGACTTATGCTCTCCAACAAAGCACACACAAACAGAAAGTGTACAAAGAAAATGACAGGCGCTTCATTAAAGAGGAGAACCAAATGACCTGTGTGTACACACACACACACACACACACACACACACACACACACACACACACACTGTCCCCAGTCACCTGGTAACTACAGGTACAAACCACAATACAATCCCCCCACATGCCAACTGGAAGGTTCCCCTCTGCTCTTGCCCCACAGGCAAAGAATGATGGACAGTGTTAGCACCACTTAACGGCAATGATGTACAGTAACCAGAGCTCTCACACTGTTAGGACAACTTGCACAAGCCCTTTGGTAAACCTCGGGGACTTTACTTACGATGGCCCCACACTGGAACTATTTAAATAACTACCATCAGAAAGAAGCTGGAGAGAGGACACAGCACTTAAGTCCACTTGTTCTTGCAGAGGATCTGAGTTTGGTTCTCACCACCCACAAGATGGCTGGCATGGGCCTGCAGTTTCGGCTCTTATCCCTTCTGGCCTGAGTTCACAAGGCACCCACACAGGCACTTGCAGATATACATAAAAGGACATAAATCACTAAATGACAACCAATAAAAACGATAAAGTAATCGTGGTACATCTATACAATAGGGTGACAACATACAATGACGCTCTACACAACATTGGGTATTTTTGCTTTTCTGGTATTTTATTAAGAATAAGGGGACTGGAGAGATGGCTCAGAGGTTAAGAGCACTGACTGCTCTTCCAGAGGTCCTGAGTTCAATTCTCAGAAACCACATGGTAGCTCACAACCATCTGTAATGAGATCTGATCCCTCTTCTGTCATGCAGGCACACATGCAACTTACATAAAAATACATGAATAAACAAATTTAAAAAAAAGAATAAAAAATTTTTTTAAATCAGATACCAGCTAGACATGGAGATCCATGCCTTTAATTCTAGCTCTTGGGAGCTAGAGGTGGACAGATCTTTGTGAATAAGAGCAGTCTGGTCTATACATAGCAAGTTCCAGGTCATAAAGACGACATAGTAAGACCCTGTCTCAACAAACAAAATTAGATATTAAAAATTATATTGTATGTATGATTCACATTTTCCCCCTTTTATCTCTTCTTAAAGGAAAATCAGAGGCTGGGAAGGCAGCTCAGCTCTTAAGAGCACTTGATCCTCTTATCAATTCCCACACCCAAATGGTGGCTCACAACCAGCTGAAACTCCAGTTCGGATATCCTCTTCTGACCTCCTAGGGTACCAGGCACACTTATGATACACAGACATACGTGCAGGCAGAATATTTGTACACATGAAATAAGAGAACCATAAAAATTAGAAGAACAAACAAAAAGCCAGTGCGGTGAGGATATTAGAAGGCAGAGCAGTCAGTATCCCTGGCAGGCCTGTTCCCTGTGTCTGCTTTGTAAGCACCCATCACCTACTACTCCAAATCTAGCCCACCCAGAACATCTCTCCACCCAATCTGATAGTATTATTGTATCAAAATGCTTTAATCAAGAAATGCTGTGTCTAAATATATCTGTAAGTTTAGAAAAGAAAACTGAGTGAGATGTTCCCTACAGGGCTGCTATTTTAAATCTGCCTGGAGTAATTCTCCAACCCCAAATCTCTTAACAACCCCAAATCTCATCCGCTGACCAGAGGGAGTGTCAACAGTGAGAAAAGGATTAGTTTGAGGGCTTCGCAAAACATACAGAGTCCTCCCAAGGCCCAGAACAGTAATACAATTACTTGCTGGACAAGTAAGAACAAGGAGAAGCAGAGCCACAGCATACAGCAGCAGGGCATCCTCCCTGGAGGTCAGAAGGGCACTACTAGATCTACTGCTGCTCCCCAGAATGCAGTCATCAAGGACTCCACTCCACTTTGGTCATGGATGTATTCCCACCAGACACTGAGCCTGAAACTTATTATGATATTAACTACTTGATGAAAACAAAAAGTGAAGCCTGGCAAGATGGCTCAGAAGGTAAAGGTGCTTGCTGCCAAGCCTGAGGACCTGCGTTCGATCCCCAGGCAGGAGAAAACAGACTCCAGCAAGTTGTCCTTGGATCTCTACATTCGGCATTACATGGGTGTGTGTGTGTGTGTGCATGTGCACGTGTTCACCCACACTTGCCCACACACAATAAACAAGTGTAAGATAATGTAAAACAGCATACAAAGACTAGACTAGAGGATCTAACAGATCAAACGCCACCAAAGTTGGTTAAAAACAGGTCGGCTATGTCCACCTGAAGCCCGAGTACATCTAAGATTTACATTAAGTACTGATCAATCTAAAGGCACAAAGACTAATTAAAAAGTAACAAACATGCAAGTTTGTTTTACTCAACCTTCAAAACTTTTAGCCCTGAATATGTGAAAATGAGAATAAACCTGACCAAAACCTACAAGTACTCAGTTGTAGAATGAAATCACAGACCTCTGTGCCTTTAGCCCCTTGAGGAAACACTCCCTGGGAAATACTACCTGTCTCGCCGACAGCTCTATTTTCTAAACAATTCTAATTTTAGAAAAGTTGTTGTTAATATTCAGTACCCCACTCTAGCATCTCCTTCTGTGACGGACTTCACATTCCCGCAAGCCTAACCCGTACTGGCTCTCCAGTTCAGTGCCCCACATACTTGAGGAATATTAGATTTCCAACTGCTAAAAACCTAGAGTTTTCTGGGCTAAAGGATTTTTTTTTTCTTAACTTTTTGTGTTTTGATGCAGGGTCTCACTTCGTAACCTGACCAGCCTGGAGCTCACTCCAAGGCCGTGAGTTTCTGCCTACCTCCCCAGCACTGACACTACAGGATGAACCACCACAGCAGGCAAGTGCTGGGCTTCACTGGACTATGGTTTCCAGGGTTCCTACCGCTTAATGAGCCCAGTCTCCCGACAGTGTCCACTGTGTCAGATGTTCTACCGACATCTGGGGTTCATGTCGAGCCTGCACACAACCTAAGCTTTCAGTGGAGTTGTCAGCAAAGCTACTAAAATCCTTCACATTCCAATCAGAAACCTGAGGGCCCTTAAAGGGTTGAATGGCATTGATTTATGGGCACAAGACCTAGACTGCACATCTTCTAAACAGCAGTTCTTCTAACACAGTCGGCACAACTAACACAAAGCAATAACAGAACTGGAAACTTAGAAACAGCAATATTTTTATATATATATAGAAAAGAACCTTTAAGGATTTCCTCCAACTATGACTTACTTTTTGGTGATATTACTGATGTTTATTTTCTGATTTTAACCATCTGACTTATATATGTATGTGATACACACACACACACACACACACACACACACACACACACACACACACACGTTGCTGTAATAAAAATAACTTTGGATTTCTTGAAAAGCAAAAAGTCATTAATTACACATTCTTAGTATGACAACTTACTCCAAGTAAAATTTCCATGTTAAAAAGGTTAAAGTTAGAATTATTGGTTAACATATCAATGCACCTTGTAAAAATGTTGGTGATGATGGAGTCTCTGCTAATATTATGATCTGACATGTAGCACTACATGAGCACATGCAAACAGAAAATTAATGTGTTAGTATATATAATACAGAGCCAGAAGGGCCATGTCACTCAACATGGAGACAGGCATCACTATGTGAGTAACTCAAACCACATCTCTGCCAGGAGGCTCGGGTGACCAGGCATACACGTCATCTACAGACACAGGCATGAGGACTAAGGGAGTTCCAGGCACTAACTGCAAGACCATCTGCCAAACATCAACGTTAGGTGAGAGTTCAGCAATCAGGAATGGCACTGTGAGCAAGCAGCATGGATGAATGCAGACTTTCGGGTTCTAGGTGACATGCAGCTTTTACTGCAAAGGGAAGGGTTCCCCCCATTACAGAGGCATTGGTACACTGCCCTCTGTACCTGGTACATCCGGGGGGAGCTCAGATGCCACCTTCTTCTCTGCCATGTTGCTGCTCTCATGGGTTTCTGAGAGACAGCCCTCGGGGCTCCTCCCTTCACAGGGACTAGTCTCTTCTGGAGAGGCATTAGTTGTGTTGTCCCCAAGATTTGCTGGCACAGAGTTACCTCTATCCCCAACTTCTGTTGGCTCTACAGCAAAACGCACAACAAAACTTTAAAGATATGCTTTAAAATTGCTTTTGGACAAGTGGCCACATTTAATCAACTACTAAAAATCATCAATCACCAAAAAACCTGCTTCTCTTTGATGGCCATTTTAAAGCAATTCATACTCTGCGATAGATAGCTTTGCAATGGGTCATCCAAAGACAAAGAGTGAGATATTAAGAATGTTTTAGTAGTCTTTTAAGAACATATTTGATCACATACCAAAGTGTATATTCTGGTATAAAAAAGTAATTTTTCATCAACAGATTTCAAAGGATGCCAACTTCTTAGGGAATATAAGTATTACATTATTGCAAATCCATCAATACATAAAACTCATCCAATGGCTATGATGTTACAAGGGAGAGACTCTCTTAAATATCTTTAGAAATCAAAAATAGCTGTTTGCCCTAAAAATTTCCATTTCTATTTTGTAAGTAAAATTGGAGGTTTCAAACAAACAGCACTAGTAAACTATTTCTTTTAAACCAAGTAATTCTTTTACCCTCAGGTTTTCCTTGCCCAGGCTCTTCACCCAGGACTTTGTCATCCCTGTCCTTCTCAAGGGACTGGTCCTCCGACTCCTCCTTGCTCTTCTCAGCATCCTTAGAGTTGTCAGCTTCAACCTCACTCTTGTCTTTTTCCGTTTCTTCCGGGCTCGGGTCACAGTCAATATCTTCCCCTCTTTTGATTCTTAAGGAGTCCAAAATTTCTTCTATAATGAAAAACAGATATAATTGTTTTCTTCCCATAATCAAATATAAAATTAGTAACAAATGCCGCTTAGGAATTTTAAAGTTTGCTGGACTTGGTGGTGCACACCTTTAGTCCAAGCACTCAGTGGTCAGAGGCAGGTGGATCTCTAGTACAAAGCCAACTTGGTCAATACAGCAGGTTCCGGGACAGCCAGGGCTACATAGTGAGACCTTGTCCCAAAACAACAAAACAAAACAAACAAACAAAAAAACAAAACTGAGTCCTGGGAAGCTAGAGAGATGGCTCAGCAGTTAGGAGCACTGTTTGCTCTTCCAGAGGCCTCAGGCTCAATTCCCAGCATCCACTTGGGAACTCACAACTGTCTAACTCCAGTTCCAGGGGATCTGAAACCTTCACACCAATGCACATAAAATAAAGTTAAATAAATTAAGTGAGACTTGTTGGACATCACTGTCACATTCACTGCCATGAGACAGACACTCTAAACTCACACAGACTCAGTCTATACAGCACAGTGCAATGATCAAAAACAGACCTGGAAGCCAGTATAGACCTGAGGTGACTCTGCTCCCTGAGCCTGCTTCCTCCAGTGTAAAACTAACAGAAAGGGCCATATGGAAACACTTTCTCAGGCCTCATAACTACTCGGAAAGCCACTAAGGGCCTAACTAAGGGCATCCCCTCTTCCAACTCGGTCAGGGTGACAGCCTGGCATGGTACCAGCATAAGGGAACACAGTATGGACACATGGATACTAGCCAGAGTCTTTGTGTTATGATAAAATACATCCTTTGGGATGGATTATTATGAGGCCCAGACTGGGCTGAGATTTATAATTCTCCTGCCTCAGCATCCTGAGTAGCTAGGATGTGCTATCACATCTACCAATTGAAGTACCTTTTCTTGTTTGTTTGCTTGCTTAAGGCAGAATATCATGAAGCCCAGACCAGATTCAAACTCAGTACTGTGTCTGAGGCTGGCTTAACTTTTTTTTTTTTTAATTTATTCATTTTAAAAGATGGTGATGCATGCCTATTATAGGCAGAGACAGGCAAATCTCTGAGTTTGAGGCCAGCCTAGTCTATGGAGCAAGTTTAGGACAGCCAGAGCTACACAGAGAAACCCTATCTTGAAAAAATAACAACAAAAATTTACTCATTTTATTTCATGTGTGTCTGTGTGTTTTGCCTGCATGTATGTACACCACGTGTGCTCGGTGCCCTTAAGAGGTCAGAAGAGAGCATCAGAACTGGAGTTGTGAATGGTTGTAAACCACAATGAGGGTTCTGGGAATGAACCCGGATCCTCTGCAAGAACAACATTCGCTCTTCACCCTGAGCCATCTCTCCAGGCCCTGCCCTTGAACTCCGCCCACCTTTACCCACCAAAAGCTGGGATTACAGGCATGTGCCACCACACCACTCTCGAAATATCATTAAACTGTTCCATTATTTGACCTTTGAGAACTTTCTTCAGAGTTCTTTGTCCACTTCACATGTCGTATCCACCCACCAATTCAACACATCCCTACAATCCAACATTTCAAGATTTTCCAGGTAACCTCTATTCTTTCTGCCCATGCTCTATAATCGACCATCTCTCCTAGGAATCCTATTTCTTTTTTCTTTTTTTCCCCCTCAGAGATTCTCACGGTGCAGTTCTGACTGTCATGGAACTCACTCTGTAGACCAGGATGGCCTTGAACTCATTGAGATTTACTTGCCTCTGTGTCCCAAGTGCTGGAATTAAGGCGTGTGTCACTATACCCAAATCTTTGTTCTTTTTATGATTAGAAGATACTTGGAAGCCATACAATCTGGGTCTCATAACAATAGGAAATGCCTGCACCCTAATCCATATCCATATGATTCCTATATCTACCCAGAAGAAGGCAGTACCCGGATGAAGGTGGATATGATGTGTCTTTGGTTCACTGCATCACTGTTCCCAGGCTTGTTTTATAATTTCTCGTACTGAGAAACCGGCTATGTTCTTCACAGAGAATCCAGTGGTTGGTTAAGGATGGCCATGGAAAAGCAGTTTCAGAATTACTAACCCAAATCCTCACGGGAAACAAGCCAAGTTTACAAAGACAAAGGAACACAATGCTCCTCTCGGGAGTCCCTGTCTGTATTTCCTTCCTTCAGGGTTCTCCACCTTCACTTGTCTTGTTTCTTAAACTATGGTTATCTAGACCATTTTCCAGAATCAGAAAACCTCTACAAGGCACTGAGGGCGCCCCTCAGTAACAGAGCACCTGTCTAGCTTACGATCCCTGGCACTAACAAGCTGAAGGCACCTTTTGGGGGCACTCAAGATAGTTGTCTAAAAGATGCTGTCTAAAGCCAAGGACACAGAAATAACAAGTGTGTCCGTGTGGTTCTGTGTGGGGGTGAGGGTTATCTGGCTAAAATAAATAAAATGTTCTCTAAAGTTGTCTACAGTATGGAGGGAACAGAGTGAGGAGGGTATAAATGAGCTAAAAAAGGTGGAATACCCCTCACAGTCCCAACATTCTGATGGCTGAGGCAGAAGAATCATTAATTCAAGGCCAACTTGGGCTATATAATAATTGAACCCAGCCTGAGTTATAAACAAGAAATAAATTATTTTGGGGGGTAGGAGGTACTTAGTCATGAGACTAAGGCAAGAAATAAAACACAGCACCCTAATTTGTGTTAGCATGGATAGGATCACTGTAGAAAAAAAAATGACATATAGAGTCAAAGCAAAGCATACAAGAGCTTGTCTCAAATTTCACAACAATCAAGCAAGAACAGGCCTCACCGTTAGCTGCCGCTAGAAAGGATTTGTTGCTGCCCCGAGCTTTGTTGGTCAGGTCTTCCGTTATGTCCATGTGCTGGTGCATCTCTTCTCGAGTCTCTTCTAGAACCTTGCACAGTTCTGCTTCCCAGTAATCTTTGTCTAGACAGTCTATTAATTCTGCAAGCTGGACCTTTGTACTGTAGTACCAAACTTTCTTTTCATTTTCATTTTCTGTGTCTTCTTCTCTGTTGTGAAATCAGCGAGGGGAAAACATTAGACAAGATAGCACTTACCCAATAAACATCTACCCAACAAGTTCAACTGTGTGACATGAAGACTAATGCTGAAGCTTGAGTTCTCTTGTTTCATCTAAACAGTCTCTAATTACTTGGATTTCTGAGCTCTTGCTCCTTGGAACAAACAATTTTCAGTATTAGTGAGTAGAGAGGTCACTTGTAAACACCTAAACAGGTAACAGAAACATGATGCTAACATCTAGAGCCGAGCTCCGAGGGCTTGGCCAAGGACCACCCAGACCTCAAACAAGTCTACTGCAGCAGCCTGCTGAGACTCCTAACCCTGAGCCTTCAGAAGTCTAAAGCTTGGGAAATCACAAGAGAAAGCACACTCATACTGTTGCACGGTCTAGAAGCACTGCCACCATGATGGGGGCTTTACTAAATCCAGGGCCTTGTAGGAATCATCCCAGATTCAACAACAGTGAATCATCCATCTCCTTTTTCTTTTCAGAGAAGATTTTATTATTTTTATTTTATGTATCTGTTGCCTCTGTGTGTGTGTTAGTTTGAATGTAATTGTCCTCCATAATCCCATAATATCATAGGGAATGGCACTATTAGGAGGCGTGGCTTTGTTGGAGTGGGTGTGGCCTTGTGTGTCATAGGAGGAAGTGTGTCAATGTGGGGGCGGGCTTTGAGGTTTCATATACTCCCAGTGAGTCAGTTGATTTCCTGTTGCCTGCAAGATGTAGCACTCTCAGTTCCAGCACCACCTCTGCCTACACGCCACCATGCTCCCTGCCATGACAATAACTGACTGAACCTCTGAAACGGTAAGAGAGCCCCTCAATTAACTAAACATTTCCTTTATAAGAACTGCCGTGGTCATGGTGTCTCTTAACAGCAAAAGAAACCCAAACTAAGACAGTGTGTAACTGTACCACATCCATGCCGTGTCCAAAGAGGATAGAAGAGGATACTGGATCTCCTGGAACTGGAGCTACTGACTGCTGTGAGCCGCCACGTGGATGCTGAGAACTGAACTTGGGTCCTCTGAAAAAGCAGCAAGTGCTCTGAACTGCTGAGCCATCTCTCCAGGCCCAACTTATTTTTAAAACAAGGTCAAACCATGTATTCCTGATTGACCTGTAATTTGCCAGGTAGATCAGGCTAACCGAACTCACTGCCTCTGGCTCCCAGTATTAGGACTGAGGGTGTGTATGAACACCTGGCTCTTCTTTCTTCTTAAAGACAATCAAAGCTCAAATGAGAGGAGACAATTTCCTTTCCTGCCAACTTTCCTGAGGTTCCATCACATCTAACGAAACTGGAAACTTCAATGGAGATGGTCACTAACTAAAAAAACAAAGCACATTACCACCTCAAGCAAGTGGTATGCATCCTGGCCACATGCCTTTAATTCAAGCACTTTGGAGGCAGAGCTAGGCGGATCTCTGTGAGTTCAAGGCCAGCCTGGTCTACAGAGCAAGTTCCAGGACAGGCACCAAAGCTACACAGAGAAACCCTGTCTCAAAAAACAAAAAACAAACAAACAAACAAAAAGAATGCATCCCATGGGGTTGGGGATTTAGCTCAGTGGTAGAACGCTTGCCTAGCAAGCGCAAGGCCCTGGGTTCAGTCCTCAGTTCTGAGGAAAAAAAAAAAAAAGAATGCATCCCATAATGCTGGCAGTGGTGGGACACACCTGTTATACCAGCACTTGGGAGGTAGAGCCAGCTTTATATACATGAGTTTGAGGCCAGTCTGGGCTATATGAGACTGTCACAAAAAATTAAAAACAAACAAAACACCTGATAAACACCACCCCCAAAAAAGAGGATTATACCTCATGAAGTTTCTTCTCCCATTCAAAAGGAACTCAGGAGTATACATGAGGTACACAAGAATCATATTTTCTTGTGTGCTCAATTGGAAAGTGATAGACCTGAAAGAATTGAGCTCTATGAAAAGACCTAGGGGTTGGGAGGTGGATTAGTTATTAAAGTACCTGACTCACAAACCAGAGAGTTCCGATGGGTATGGTGGCCTGACTGTAACTTTAGCCCAAAAAGTGAAAGGGAGCCTTGACATGAACTGGCTAAGGAGACTAGAAGCTAACTCTATCACTGCCCTCCGGATTTGACTGAGATGATATTTCAAAGAGTAAAGCGGACAGAGATGAAGGAAGATTCCTGACATCATCCCTAGGCTTCCATGAGCATGTGTACACACCTACACATGTCTGAGATTCTAGGCCAGGTGTGGTAGGTCTAGAGCCTCTCGGGTGGAGGGAAGTGGTACATAGGGCTTGCTAGCTAGCCTATCTTACTAAATGGCAAGCTCCAAATTCAGTGAGAGAAAAGGTAGAGAGCAACAGAGGAGGACATCAACACAAATATGTGCATACACCCACATGGACAGACGAACAGACAGACAGACACACACAGACCTGGGTCTAGGAATGTCAATCAGTGTAGAGAGCTCAAGGTCACTAACTGTAAAAGATCTGGCTCGGAATGGGCTCGGTCTCTTGAGATAGATGGCATGGCAGTGACAAACTCTCTCCAAGCCACCTATGTGCCTTACTTATATGGTCAGGAAACAGCCTCTGCCATCAGGCCACTATAGGACTTGAAGGTATTAAAATATTATTATTATTATTATAAAGGCAGAAGAAACATAGAGGAATTTCAGAAATGTATCATTCAGTAATTCTGAAGGGAATATGTTAATCATAGATCAATTACCAAACATTTTTCGACATGCACACCATTTTTCCTTCTTTTGGCATAGGTGCAAACAGGGGTGCAAGCATGTGCATCCTCTTGTGTGTGTGCAGAGGCTGGGTGAACGTTAAGCACTCTGCGCCATAAGCTCCACCTTATCCGCTGAGACAGGAGCTTGCACCGAACCTGGAGCCCCAGTGATTTCTTGGCATTGCCCACAGTGCGCAGGTTACGGCACAAAGAGTCGCCCATGGCTCTTGGGTGCTGAGATCTGAACTCAGGTCAGGGCCTCCAGCTTAGGCAACAAGTGTTTCATACTGAGCCATCGCCCCAGCTCCCCCACACACTTTTTTCTTTTTGGTTTTTATTTGTCATAAACACAAAACTTTTAAAAATCTACTCTTCATTTTGCTCCAATAGATACTTCTACTAAGTTCCCCCACTACCCACCAAGCAGGGTTTCTCCTGGCTGTCCTGGAACTCACTCTGTAGACCAGGCTAACCTTGAACTCATAGAGATCCGCCTGCCCGTGCCTTGAGTGCTGGGACTAAAAGCATGCGCCACCAACGCCCAGATTTTTTTTTCTTTTTTTAAGTGAGCTCTGGCAAAGTTTCACTAAAGTGAACTCACAAGAGATCTGCCTGTCTCTGCCTCCCGAGTGCTGGGATTAAAGGCGTGCACCACTGCCACTCGGCCTGGTTTACTTTTCACCAGGTCGTTTGGGCATGTTTCTAGTAATCAGAATCATTTGGTCAATGATAACCAGTGTGCACACTATACTCTGTAGTATTTTCTATATGCTGTGCCCAATTCAATATTATTGCCATTGTAGTGATGGGCACCAGTTTTGGCCAACATGGCATAGTATTCTCTATTTCAGATTTCCTCACAGCTGAGCAGCTGATGGCAAGGATAACCAACTTGGCTTTGCCTATCTGATCAGCTTCCGAGTCTGTCTGTCCCAGCACGGACTTTCTACTTTTTCTAACAATGTGGAGCCCAGAACTGATCGACCCCAGAGCCTTTTACCTTCTTTGCAGCCACCATCTTCCTGTCTTAGGTGCAGCACAGCCCTCAACCAGGAGCAGCTGCAAAGATGGACAGGGACTGAGTCCCCTGAGTTCTTACGACAGCAGAAAGATTATTAAAAGCTCTTAAAGACACCGGGCAGTGGTGGTGCACACCTTTAATCCCAGCAGAGGCAGGCGGATCTCTGGGTTTGAGGCCAGCCTGGTCTACAGAGCGAGTTCCAGAACAGCCAATGCTACACAGAGAGACTGTTCCAGGAGAAACAAGACAAAACCAAACAAAAGTTCTTAAACACAATGCCATGTCAAAAATTAACAGTGCCACGTGCTTAATGAGCTCCAACATAAGCTCTGACTATCTAAAGTTATAAATAACCCATATCTTTTATTTTCTAAATTTTTAAAAATTTATATTTTATATGCATTGGTGTGAAGGTGTTAGATCCCCTGGAACTGAAGTTACAGACAGTTGGGAACCACCATGTGGGTGCTGGGAATTGAACTCAGGACCTCTGGAAGAGCAGCCAGTGCTCTTAACTGCTGAGCCATCTCTCCAGTCCCTGTTTTCTAAAATTTCAATCTTAAAGCTTTCTTGTTATGAAGCTAGCTGGTTCTCGTGTTCTCTCTCTCTCTCTCTCTCTCTCTCTCTCTCTCTCTCTCTCTCTCTCTCCCCCCCCCCCCCCCCCCCCCCCCCCGCTCCCCGAATTCCCTGTTTCCACTCCTGAGCACCAGAATTGCAAGCGTGCACCACTGTGCCTGGTTTAATCAACACTGGGGAGAGAACCCAAGGCTTCAGGCATGATAAGCATGCTCTCTACCAACTGGGCTGCACTCCGAATCCTTATAGGTATTTAAGTGTTTATTCTTTATTCAGAAGCAGTCATTCACAAGATGGCATTTCAAGTCCACTGAGGGAACACAGACAATGGAGACCCTATACAAGGGTGCACCCCAGTGACATCATCTTAGAGAGTGCATTCTATGACATTCACACCAATGAAGACCAACTTAGCTATGATGCTTTTCTCAAAACATATCCCAACTGACAAGAGCTATGTGGCTTGCATCTACATGTCTCAATAAGCAAGAAAAATACTCTACATAAAACCTATTTTAGGGGCGGTGCTAAAGACAACGGCTCAGCAGCCAGAGCACGCACTGCTCATGCAGGGGACCTGTGTTTGGGTCCCGGAACATACCACCAGGTGGCTCACAATCACTTGGTTCTCCTCCAGTTTCAGGGGATCTGAT